CGCGGGGACCGTCTCTTCAAAACGAGGACCCAACACCACAGGATGGTTGGGAAAAACATCAGTGCAACGGGAAGGGATGGGAGGGAGGGATAGGATGTCAGATGTGGCGCGAGCGCACCCAGCTTTCCCTCGTCCTTTCTCTCGCCCCGCTCCTTCCGCACCCTTCTCCTTTTCGATCCTTCTTCTCTCGCCTCTTCCCTCCTGGCCCTCCTGGCCTGGCCGCGGTGGGGGGGCGGCACGCCGGTTTGCCCCCCTCCCGCTTCCCCTGTTCGCCCCCCCCCTTTCCAGGTGTGCAGGAGCGGCCTTCTCCAGTGGACGCGGCGAACAGCCAGGACGACCCGGCCCGCGACGGCGCCGAAGAGGAGACGCCTGCGCACGCTGCTACCGAGCGCACGCGCCTGCGAAGGGATGCGTCCACGTTCGTCCCCACGTTCGTCCCGAAGTGCTGGGAGAGCCCATGGCAGCCGCAGCCGGAGGTATCGATGCTGTGCAGTTGGGTCCCCCCTCCTCCCGGCCTGTGCGATGAGCTCCCGCAGGTGGCAACGCAGCAGATGGGAGGCCAGTGTGACGAGTGCACTACGGTGATACTGCGCAATCTGCCCTGTCCCTTCCTGCGCGACAATTTGATCGAGGCGATGGACGCGAAGGGGTTTGCAGGCCTCTATCCAGCTGCCTGGGGCAGGCCCTGCCACCACGCCAGCGCAGCAGCGCCGCGTGAAGGAGGTTGAGTTCAAGACGCATCTTGGAGCCTCTCTGGGGCCTCGTGAGGACCCCTCGGGAGCCCTCTTGGGGTCCGTTTGGGAAGCCTGTGGTGGTCTGCGGGGGGACATCCGGGAGGCCTCTTGGGCTCGGGCGTCTGTGGGTCCCCTGGCACCTCTGGGAGGCATCTTAAGGGTCTTGAAGGCAGTCCTGTCAAGACGAACTCGATGTCTCCCTCTTGGGCCCCTCTTGGGCCCCTCTCAGGGCCTTCTTGGGGGCCTCTTGGGTCGTCTTGAGGACATCTTCGGCCGTCTTGGGGCCCTGGGCCCCCATTGGCTCGTCTTGAGGGCCTCCTGGGCCGTCTCGGCACTCCTGTGGGCCGTCCTGGGGCCTCTTGGGAGCCTGTTGGGCTGTCTTGGAGCCCTCTTGGCGACCTTTTGGACCGTCTTCGGTTTTCGGAAGCCAGAATGAGCCAGTATGTCGAGATGGGCGAAAACCATTCGGACAAACAAAAATGCTTTCTCCTCTCGAGGGCCTCCCAGGCATACTCTTGGAGCCCTCGTGGGTCGTCTTCGGGGCCTCTTGGGCCCTCTTGAGGCCTTCTTGGAGCCCTCTTGGAGCGTCTGAAGGCCTTCTTGGACATTCTTGAGATCAGTTTGGAGGCCTTTGGGCCGTCTTGGGGCGAGGTCGACTGTCTCGTTTTTTTGAATTGTTGTTTTTGCAGTCTAGGGGAGTTTTGTTTGTTCGTTTTGTGATGTCTTATGTTTTGTATGTCTTCAGCTATTTCGACCCCTCCCAGCACGAGCCTCTCCCCTGCCAGAGCCTCTCCGAACAGCAACTTCATTCGACACGATCAGCTCTGGAGAGGGGTGCGATTTTCTGGACGCGGTTGCGACGAGGGGATGTTGGCCCGAGAAAATGTTTAAGACATTTTTGCAGACAGCAGAGGAGCATTCTAAAACGCCCCAGCGTGCACAAGACATGGTGGCGGATAATTTCGTATACGTGCCCGTCGATTTCAAGACCGGAATGGGCATGGGATATGCTTTCGTGAACCTTGTATCCACTGAGGAGTTGCATCGTTTCGCCCTTGCGTTTAACGGCTTCAGGGATTGGCCACGTGCGTCTGCGAAAATCTGCGCCGTCGACATGTCTCGGACGCAGGGCCTGAGCGCAAACGTCGAGCGGTACCGGAACAGTCCCGTCATGGGCGAGGAGGTACCCGAGAGGTTCCGGCCCGTGCTCTTCAGCGGGACACAGCGGGTCCCTTTCCCGGCGCCCACGCGGGAGTTGCCCAGGGTCTTCCACAAGAACGAGTGGTAGACGCCCAGGTTCACCCGCCCGTTCCGCGCCGCGTTGCGGCCTGCTCCGCTCCGACGGAGGGAGCACGCACGGTGACTGGCTGTGCGCAGTGAAGAAAACGACTCGCGGCGTTCTAAGGAGGTATACGGTCAGGGACTCTGGCTTAGCTTGTCGCGCCGCAGGTTCTGGCCCACCGCGCCTCGGCGCGACACGCTATCCACGTCCCCATCCCTTAGCCTCAACGTTCCGAGCCTTTCCCCGCCTCGCGCCCCACGGAGCGGAGCGACACGCTATCCACTCGCAGGGCATAGCGTGTCGCTGGAGCCGCCGCCGCGAGACGCGACGCAACAGGCCTCGACCGTAGTGATGCTGGGCCTCAGGGCTAAGGAAGATCTGGCCTTTCTGAGGGGCATCTCACGGCACCCACTGGCCTCTCTATTGCCTCATGGGTGTTCCAAGGGTTTCCCCAAGGGGTCTACAGCACAAGCGCGGAGTTGCAAGAAAGCTGACTGCTTTTGCCCTTCGTGCGAAACTGACTTCCAGCAGCGCGTCCGCTGCATTCGCCACTTCTCGTGGTTCCCCCAACGCATGCACATGTATGTTAGGCTTGGGGGCTATGGAGCCTCTCTCCGACGACCTTGTCGAGTCCCTGGTCAGGGAAGACAAGACCCCGTCCCGGCGGGCGTACAAGGAGGCGAAGGTCGGGCCAGGGTTCTGGCTTCCAGGAGCGGCGAACACCGCCGCAGGATGCACCACGGGAAGCACCCAGAGCTGAACGTGCGCTCGCACGTCGATGAAGCTTCACGCCAACCCTCAGACGCCTCGAAGGGTATCCGAGGGACCTTCTCGAGGCTTCCAGGTACCTCTCAGGCTACTGAATAGTTTCCTGGGCACCCCCAACCGAGAGTCCTCCAGGAGCTTCGAAGGGCATCCTATTGGCCTGCACGAATTTCCCAGAGGCCACAGGAGCCTCCCAGCGCTTCAGAACATGTGCCCAACTGAAATTTCCTTATCCCCGGGTGGCCCCAGGGAGCCACAACATTTCTTCGACCGTGATGCCTTATCGTATGTGTCCACTGTAGTCTCTCGGGGGCTACCGAGGGACCCAGCAGAAGCTCTCAAAAGTCTGCAGCGGCCCTGGGGGGCAAGTGAGAGGGGGCAGGCCTTCTCAGAAGGCGGCGGGGTCTCTCAGAAGCCCTCGCGCCTTCTGAGAAGCCGTCTGCGTCTCAGGAGAAGGCGTGGACGGCTTCTCAGAAGGCGCGAGGGCTTGGAGAAGCCTCGCCGCCTTCCGAGAAGGTCTGCCCCCTCTCGCTTCCCCCCCCGGGGCCCGCCGCCCAAAAGGAGCATCCGAGCGCGCCCAGCGCTTTGGCCAGCCCCGCGAAGGCTTCGGCAGGCCTCGAACACGAGACGGCACAGCCATACGCTTTTGGAGCTCCGCGCGGATGTCTTCGGTCGGCGCCGGGTCCCCCCTTGGCGGCGCCTCCAGCGCCGCCCCCGGCGCTCTCCGCGCGCCAGGGAGGGGGCTTCGGCGCAGATTCAAGAGATCCGCGCGCAGCTCCGAAAGTTTAGGTTCGTGCATTTCTCCTCTCTTCTGCTCCTGCAGTTAGGACGGTGAAGTAAGGCTCACTCGGGGTTCAGGAGGGGCTGTGGTAGATCCAGGTCGAGGAGCCTATCCGTGGCCTAAGCTGGCCGCGGCCAGACACGTCCCTTCGTTCCTTAGCGTCCCTTCTGGTAGCGCGATGGCTCTACCCCCTTGCCCTCTGTGTGCCACCTCACCTGACTTCGGCCTGTCCAGCCTCGAGGAAGCCTGACTCCCCGAGTGAGGCTCCAGAGCTCTTTCGATAGCTCGCTCGGGCGGGCTGGTCAGCAGGATATATTTTTTCGCAGTCGTCGTTGCGAGATCCGTGGGGCGAGAGTGCCCTTTCTCTTGCGATGGGGTCTGATGTTCATCTCTGGTTATTTCGATGTCGGTGGCGCTGACTGTAACGATTATGGCGACCGCGATTCTGACGATGGTGGCAGTGGCAATGATGATCGTGTGACGACGGCGACGGCGATGTCGACGGCATTGCTGGCGGTGTAGAGCAATGGCTGTGACGATGATGAAAATGCTGATGGTTGCGATGGTTTGGTGACGGTGAGTTCTTCTGACTCCTGACCGTAAGCCTGCCCTGCTCTCGTGCTTCACGGCGCCTCCGCCTCCGTCCCCTCATCCTCCACCCAGTGAGGATCGTCGCCTTGAAGGGTAGAAGGTCGAGCGCTTGGATGTGCAGCCAGACCCCTCACCGCAGCCAGGGCAAGTCGGAAGGAACCCTTGCAGGGTAAGCCCATCCACGCACCTTGAGAGCACATCCCCCACTCCAGAACGAGATGGGCGCACGGAGAGCCTGGTGTCTTGCACGAGGGGAGAGGGAGCCCTGCAGCAGCGCCGCCGCGTCGCACGGCCGTGGCGTGTCTGGGGCTGCCTCGGAGGAGCAGGGCGTCGTCTGGGAGCCATCGCGTTGGTCCTCGAGGAGGAGGAGGACGAGGAGGAGGAGGGGGGGGGAGGAGGAGGAGGAGGAGGAGGAGGAGGAGGAGGAGGAGGAGGAGGAGGAGGAGGAGGAGGAGGAGGAGGAGGAGGAGGAGGAGGAGGAGGAGGGCCTCTTTGGGCCGCGTGTGGGCTGCCGTCCCGCGGAGGCCCGAAGGGTCGTCCTGGGGGCGACCAATGGCCGCACGACGCCTTTCCCAGTTTGGGCCGAGGCCCTCTGATAGAACGTCTGAGTCGTGTGTGGCCTGCCCGTGCCGTGGCTGTCTGACATCCTGTGGTTTCAGGGCAGCTGCGAGCCCGTGGTTGCCGGGCGGATGCGAGGCGCCGCCGTGGCTGGCGCTCGTTCTGGGCCTCCTGCCGCTGCTGCTTCTGTTCCTCCGCTTCCCCTCAGACACGCTCTTGCCTTTATGCTTACTGGCTCTCATCCTTCCCTCCCTCCCTCCCTCCCTCCCCCTTTCGCGTCCGCTGACCGAAGTCGCTCGGGCTCAACCCATTCGCGCGAGTATAGTCACTCACCTGGTTTCTGCCATTTCCTCATCCGTTAAACTGACCTTCTCAAGGAGCGTGCTATCTTGCGGGAAGAATTGCACCCTCATCTCACCTCGGAGGAGGAGATCGAGGATGATGATATATGGGAGGATCTCCAGCTGCCTGCCGGAGGTCCCGCCACCGTGCCAGCCTAGCACTCCGGGTTGGCGACTGGTCGAGGGGCATGGCAGGCCGTCATCGGTGACGCCCTTCATTTCCACCTCTCGAGGAGATCTCGTGGGGAATATCGGGGCCGCTTGGAGGCTGCCTTAGGCTCCCGTGGTGCAGTCTTGGAAGTCCCTTGGTGCCCTCTTGGGGCCCTCTTGGGGCCCTCGTGGGCCGTCTTGGGGCTCTGCTGGGAGGTCTTGTGGCCCTGTTGGCCGTCTAGGGTTTTTTTTAGTGCCGTCGTGGGAGGCCGCCTTCGGTCTCTCTGAAGGCCTTCGTGAGCAAGCCTGGGTCAGTTCCGCAGGACTACTGGGTCATGTTTGAGCTTTCCTGGGCCGCCTTGGGGCCATCTTGGAGGCCTCTGAAGCCGTCAGGAGTTGAAGGATCCCCGAAAAGGTTGAGATGATGACCTCTTTGAACAACCAACGTGAACTCAAGATTTTGGCCTATTTGAGCCCTGCCGGGGGTCCTCTTGTGGCCCTTTTGGGCCGTCTTGAGGGTCTCTTGGGCCACCTTGGACTGTCTTGGAGGCATCGTGAGTCATCTTGGCGGCCTTAGCTGCCTATCTCGGCCATCTTCGAAGCTTTGGAGCGCGGACCTTTCTTTTTCGACGGAGCGTGGCCTCAGGAGATCAACCGTTTTTTGCGTGGGGTTGAGGCCTCGGGGGCGCGGGCCCATTGTTGTTTTTTGCAAGCCCTGGGTGCGCGAACGCAACGCGAACGGGACGGGGGAGACGATTCATGCGACAGTGAAAGGCGGGGGGCCTTTGGAATACTTCACATTTCCTACCAGGCAGCACTTGGCATTCTACAGTACTGCTCAGCGTGCCACGGGGACGGTGGCGGATAGAAGAGAATGAGCATGAGGATGACGATAAGCATGAGGCTGAGGCTGAGGATGAGGATGTGGATGAGGAGGAGGAGGAGGAGGAGGAGCACGAGGAGGAGGAGCACGAGGAGGAGGAGGAGGAGGAGGAGGAGGAGGAAGAGGAGGAGGATTGTCCCACCAAGGAGAGTAATAGCTGTACCAAAGATGCCGCAGCTGGCTTCTTGGATGCCCTCTACGCGCAACGCGAACCTAGCCAATTACGTGTACACCGCTGCGGTCTTTGCCGCCGTGTGTGTCGGGGCGGACTTGCTGATCTCCTGCCTGAGCCAGCTCTCCGACGCGCAGGTGCAGAACACTCTGTTTGCCGTAGTTCTGTCGGTCGGTGCTTTCGTGGCTGGCTCTGTGAACGCGGGGCACAAGAAGGCACACGCCAAAGCGGCTCCAGCGAAGAAGCTTGCGGCTCCAGCGAAGAAGCCGGTCCAGGCCAAGGGTATTACCCGTGAGGGCGAGCACAAGGCCAGGCAGGCCGCCAAGAGGTTGGCCGAGGCCAGGGGCGCAGGCCCCGTGGCCGCGCCTTCGCAATCGAATCCGGCCGCAGAGCCCAAGCCTGCACAGCCACCGCCCGCGGAGCCACAGCCCGCAGCGCCACCGCCCGCAGCGCCACAGCCCGCAGCGCCACAGCCCGCAGCGCCACAGCCCGCAGAGACGCAGCCCGCAGGGCCACAGGCCGCAGAGCCACAGCCCGCAGCGCCGCAGCCCGCAGAGCCACAGCCTGCAGGGCAACAGGCCGCAGAGCCACATGCTGCAGCGCCGTCGCCCGCAGAGCCTGCTGCCGAGCGTGGGGCCAGCTACGCGGCCCAGGCTGCAGAGTCCCAGCCCGAGCTGCCGCAGATGCCACTGAAGAAGGCTCCGAGGTATGCTGGGCGGAGTTCCACAGACCCACAGGTTGTGGGCCTCCCAGACGGGGTCCGAGTAGACGGGGTTCGAGGGATCGCGCCACATCGCCAATGCATCGGCGATGCGGCTCGATGCGGAGTCCGATTTTCTCTACGCCGATGTCGCCAGTACATCGCCGACGTCGCCGATGCACCGGGGATGCGGCGCGATCCTTCGACTCCATCTACTCGGACCCCACCTGGGCGGCTTCTACAGGTCCCCACAAAGAGCGAGGATACCACGAGCAAGGCGGCCAGAGATGATAGGACTCGGCAGTCGGGGGTGGACACGTGCGTCGTCGAGCAGCCACGGCAGCAGGGCGTGGCCTCCATGGTACTTGACATGCCCGAGTGCGTCAGGAGCAACGATGCGGTCATGGCGCTCAAGCTTTTCGACCATCTTTTGCAGGCGGACTTGGACTACGACTGCATGGCGACGGCGATACCAGAGGTTCGGGTCGGACGAAGCGGTTTTTTTTTGGGGAGAAGGGGGCTCGAACTCCGCTGCGTACAGCTGGCCTCGACCCCGCCGCTGGGCGCGTTTTTTGTTGCGTTGGCGCGTCCTGGCGCCGTGAGGTCTGCGGCCACGGAGCCTCAGAGCGGCACGAGCCCGTGTCCGCGCGCGCTTCGTTGGGTGTTGGTATAGCCCCCCTTTGAGGGGAAGCGGATTCAATATTTCGACTGGGGGATCGACTACGGAATTGATTTACTCCAAAATTGATTTTCACGTCGACTTTCAACAACAATACGTGGATTCAACAAGAAAAATCAATTCTGGGGCAAACCAATTCTGTAGTCGATCTCCTACTCGAATATTGTACCGCAGCAGGGGCAGAAGCTGGTGGGCGTTTGCAGCGGGGAGGGGGGGAAGCTACGCGAGCTGACTCGCAAGTCCCGCCTTTGCTGTCTCCGCCTTTTCGCCCGACCCGAGAGGCCACGCGGATCAGCTTCTTCACGCTGGTTGCAGAGCAGTTCGGCGATGAGCGTCTGAGGAGGGACGGACTGCACATCCTCGCGGCGGTCCAGGCCCACGGGGTCCAGCCGCCGCACATCCTCCAGAACCGCCTGATCTGCGCGTGGGGAGGCACTCTCCCCCAGCAGGTCCTGGACTACTTCGTGAAAATGCGGGAGGACGCCTGGGGTCACGGGCGGTCTCGATAGATGACCTCCCTTGGCGCCCACCTGGCGGATCTGTTCGACTCTAGCTCGACTCTAGTTCGACTCGAGCTCGATTCAAAGTCGACTCAAGGTCGATTTAGGCTGGACTCAAGTTCGACCCCAGTCGATGGACGTTCGAAGTAGCATCGACGCCCGAGTTGAGCGAGTGGCTCCAGGAAGCTCCCCAGAACGAGCATATTTGGGCGGGGCTAGGACAAGGATAAGTCCGTTCCAGAGCGTTCTGGAACGCTCTGAGAGCGTTCCGGAACGCTCCGAGAAGGCCGCGGTGCCCGATGCATCCTCCAGAGCCGCCAGATCTCGGAGATCATCGATCCAGTCTCTTCCGAAGTCGTCCTCGTCCCTGCTTCGTCTTTCGTCTGCGTCTCGTCCCTCTTGGAGACCGGTTCCCTGTGCCCACCCTCCGATCCTGGACCCGGGGTGGGCGTACCCGAGCGTGCGGTGGCGAGTCCGTCGCTTGCCCCCAGGCTGTAGGCAGATGGCCAGGCGGGTAGCCTGAAGTCCTTGCGGCGCCGAAAGCTTTCGAAGGATTTCGGCATGCGCGCGCTCCAAAGCGCGCGTGTGCACATCGTCTCATTTTTTTTGGAAGTGGTTCTTGAAAACGTGTGATTTTGTGAGACGAGTGCGCGGGCGTTGTAATTTTTGCAGAGGGTGGCGGGTTGGGGGGTGGCATGCCGGTTCAGTTGGAATGGTGCGAATTCATATTTAGGATGGGCGATGGGGCAGAATCAGATGTGCGCTGCAATGCGAAACGGGGGGGCGCAATCACTGGGTGGGGGGGTGGGGGGGGCAGTCTTTCAGAGGGGGGAATTTGTTTTTACGAGCGAGTTGACACATCCCATGCTCTTGCAAGCATCCCACCCAACCACCCGCGATTTGGTCTGTGAAACCAATGCGGCGGCGATTGCGATGCATGCTTGGCGTTGGCTGGTGAATCTATGCGGCCGCGCCGGCCCGAGCGCGCGCGGCGGCCGCGAGGCGCGTCCCCGCGGGCACCTCAGTGCGAGTCGGCGACCTGGGCGGGCGCGGTATCATGGCAACGTCGACAACGGTAGACGCAATGATGATAGCGATGCTGGTGGCGATGTTGACAACGACGACGGCGCGGCCAGCGCGGGCGCCGATGCTGATCGCGCTCGCCGACGACGACGACGCCGTCCTCGCGTCGGCGATAAAAGGTTCTGGAAGGATTTCGACGCGCGCGCGGCCGACGCGCGAGAGCGGCCAGCGTGGAATTACCTGGCGCGGATCGTGCCTCCCCCAGCGCGTGCGCGAGGGCGCGCGAGTGATTTCGGCGTGCGTTGCCGGGGGCCAGTTCGGCAGAATCCCATGCAAATCTTTATTTTTTGTTGAGAAAGCATTTGCAAGAGCGCGCACGCGCGGGTTTTTGACAACTGATGTTGCGAAACCATGTGTTTTCATTTGTTTTTTTGGGCACTCGTTTTTGACGTCGTCACGAAGCCAAGGTTTTTGACGGATATCGGCATGCGCGCGCGACGACGCGCGCGTGCAGTTCGTTTTGCTTTTTGCAACGGATTCTCGCGACGGCGCGCGCGCAAGGGCGTTCGAACGATGTCGACTTGCGCGGGCTCAAAGCCCGTTTGGTGGCATTTTTTGAACATATCAAACTTACGGTTTTCTTAAGAATTCGCAAGCGCGTGCGCGCATACACACACACACACATATATATATATATATATATATATATATATATATATGTTTTTGAAGGATTTCGGCATGCGCGCGCGACAGCGCGCGCGTGTGCACTTCGTCATTGTTTTGTGTTTTTTTTCCGCGTAGGGTTATTGAAAACATCTAATTTTGGATAAACGAATGTGCGTTCATTGTATTTTTGGCAGATGATGGCGGTGGGGGGTCGATACCGGCTCGGTTGGGATGGTATGAATTCATATATAGGACGACGGGGCAGAATCGTATGTAAATTGCACTACGCAAAGGGGTACTGATAATCCTGGTGGGGTAGAGCCCATTGTGTTTTATGATAAGAAAATCTATGTTGCGCAGTCTAAGTGGTGCAATTCACTTTGACTGTCTTGAAGCTGTCCTCTCCGCTGCTCGTGTACACATCCCACCCTCCCACCCGCAATTTGGTCGCACGACCTCCTGGGATCGTGACGGTCGGTAACACACGGCACTTGGCAATCACACCGACGCCGACAACGACAGCGACAACGACGACAACGACGCCAACGCCGACGACGATGACACCGACGACGATTCCGACGTCTCTGACGACGACGACGACAACGACGACAACGACGACGACGACGACACCGACGACGACGACGCCGACGCCGACGACGACGATGACGTCGCCGACGATGACGGCGACGGCGACGGCGACGCCGACGACGACGACAATGCCGACGCCGACGCCGACGCCGACGCCGACGACGACGACGACGACGACGATGCCAACGAAGACGACGACGAGGGAGGAGGGAGGACGACGACGGCGACGACGACAACAACGACGACAACGACGAGGGAGGAGGGAGGACGGCGACGACGCGAACGACGAAAAAGGAGGAAGGACGGCGACGCCGACGACGACAACGACGAGGGAGGTGCATTCAAACAGTGTTTACTACCGAGTTGTCATCTCCATTGTTCGCGCAATCTCCTAGTTACCCGCCCGCATTTATTGATACCGAAAAAGTTGTGATTGCGATGGCTACTTGCGCTCGGTTGGTGCATCGCTGCGGCCGTTTAACGCGTGCAGGCTCGCGCGCAGACCGGCCAGCCAGCTTGGCGCGACCGACGCGGCCGCGTTAGCGCTGACTGGTGGGCGCTTCTCAGCGTGTCTCGCAGGCCGCGCTGCCGCGCAGGCGCGTCAGTGCGAATGGGTGTTTCGGGCGGGCGCGGTAGCATGTCGACGTCGACAACGGCAGACACGATGATGATAGTAGCGATGTTGGTAGCGATGGTGACGGTGAAGATGTCAAGGCCAATGACGGCGCCGATGACGATCACGCCGATGAAGGTGATTGTGTCCACGTGTGAGTGATGAGGGTTGTGGAAGGAAATCGACACACGTGCGCCGCCGACGCGCGCGAGTGGCCTGCGTGTTCTTATTTGATACGGGTCGTGCCCCCCACCCAGCAAGCGCGCAAGGGCGTTCGAATGATTTTGACGTTCGCGCGGGATGTCTGCATTGTTTTATTTGATTAAAAATGTTGAAACACGGATGGTTGTTGTTAACAAAAAGTCCGCGCGAACGCGCGCGCAGTTTCTCAAACGTCATGATACACAACCTTGTTTTTCCTCCACGTTTTCGGTAACTTCGGTTCTGAAATTTTGACGGGGCCCGAAGTTTTTGTAGGGTGCGCGAGCGACGCCGCGCATTACCTTGCCAAAATGAAGGGAGGGTCGGCAAAAGGGGTTGGCTGGGATGGTATGGGTTCTGATTTATAACGAACAATGGAGCATACTCGTGTGTAGCATATTTTTCCTTGGGGGTACTGAAAGCCGGGACGGGGTAAGGTTCGGACCCCGCCCCCCGGGCGCCGGCAAACAACGACGACGAGGACCACGGCGGCGATGACGCCCTTCACCAGCACGAAACGACGAGGACGACGATGGCGATGACGTGCTGTCCCGCCCGCCCTCCCTCCTGACCGACTTGCCAACGTCGATGTCGACGACGTGACGGATTCGCCCACGACGGCGACAACCTCAGCGGTGACGGTGGTGGCGTTGGCGACGGCGACGACGCCCAGCGACGGCAAACGACGACGACGACGAGGAGAACGACGACCACAAAGACGCCTTATTTCGACGACGACGTGCCCCGCCCGCCCGCCCGTCCGAGTCGGCAACGAAGGCCCCGTGTCCCGCCCGCCAGCATGCCGCACCGACCGACTCGCCGGCAAACGACCAGGACGATGTCGACGATGTCGACGGCGACAGCGACGATGCCCGTCGCGACGCACGATGACGACGGCGGTGACGACGACGACGACGACGAGGAAGTGGGGTCGGACCTCCTCCGACCTTTCGGAACGGGTTGGTTGGTGGGTTGGTGGGGAGAGGAAGATTTTCGAGCGGTGGGGGTTCAGTTTGGGTGGTTGAGACTATGCACCAGTGAAGCTTACACAGAAGACGCTTGCTCGAGGACGAGGAAGAATGAGGGGTAAAAGGGGGGACTTGAGGGAGGAGGGGTCAGAACTGGAGGAGCAGGAGGGAGCAGGAGGGAGCAGGAGGAGGAGGGAGGAGGAGGAGGAGGAGGAGGAGGAGGAGGAAGAGGGGGATGAGGACAAACTAGTTGCATTCGCGCCATACCAGACATCCTACCCCTCCCACCCATCCTTTCCAATTGCTCTGTTTGTTTATCTATCCGCCGACGCATGTCATAACGGACCTGGAAGTCCAAAGATGACCCCATCGTGTAATGCGCAATTGGAAAAATAGGGGGCTGCGTACATTGGAGGAGGAGGAGGTGGCGGATGAGTAAGAGGAAAAGGGGGAAAGGAGGAGGATGAGGAAGGAAGAGAACGAGGACGAACAGCAGCAGCAGCAGGAGCTGGATTGGAAGGGGCGGGATGAGCAGGAGGACCAAGTGAAGGCGGAGGAGGGGAAATGAGGGGGGCGACAGCGATGAAAAAAGACGCAGATCCAGGAAAGTGGTCCGTGCTGGGGTGAGAGCGCTATTCTGAACAACGGGAGCGAAGCACCGATCCGAACATGAGGCCCACGGTGCAGCGGGAACACATGGGTGAAACACCGGAAACAGTATGACTGTAAGCAACCATAAGGAAAGATCGTTTGGAATTACGTGTAACAGACAGTACGCGGAGAGGGCCAGGCATCTTCCAGACAGAGTCAGGGGAGAGAGGAGTGTAGTATTCATGATGTGTAACTGTGGAAGAGGAGGAGAAGGATGTGCACAGGAGGAGGGGAGAGGAATACGAAGAGAGGGCGGAAGGAGGAAGAATAGGGAGGAGGAAGCGAAGGGGAATCTGATGATGATGATGAAGATGATGATGATGATGAGGAGGAGGAGGAGAAGGAGGAGAAGGAGGAGGACGAGGGGTGGAGCCAGCGGAGAAGGCGGGGGAAGAGGATATGCTTGATTTATGGTATCATGCCGTGACTTAGCATGGAGCAACATAGGACAAGTCATCATGACACACCACAGTGCCACATTGCACAACACGCGTGCGCAAGACATGCCAAACAGACGAAGTTGTTCAACTTCCTGACTACACCCCCTGGACAAGTAATGCGAACATTTTTCTAGTTTCATTCCCCCCCGACCCCCGATCACAATGTTGAGTCAGCCGCGGCCGACGGCGGAATTACCCCAGTGCGACCCTACCTAGAAGTTGGAACCCCTAGGACAACAGCATTAGTTGCTATGCTATGCTATGCTATGCTATGCTATGCTATGCTATGCCATGCTATGCTGCGCCATGCTATGCTATACTATGCTATGCTGCGCTATGCTGTGCTATTCTATGCTATGCTATGCTAAGCTATGCTATGCTGCGCTATGCTATGCTATGCTATGCTATGCTTGGCTATGTTATGCTGTGCTATGCTATGCTAATGCAGCGCTGCGCTATGCTAAGCTAAGCTAAGCTAAGCTAAGCTAAGCTGAGATAAGCAACGCTAAGCTAAGGGGACGTAACTGGGGGAACCGCGGGGCGGATACTGGGGGAACCGCCCGGGGCGCTTTCCACTGCCCTGCCCCTTTAAGCCCAGAGAGTAAGAACCCTTCTAGGCAGAGCCTAGGTAGGGAAAAACCGGATCGCGCGGCGACCCGCGCGAACATCGAAATTGAATGGCGCGGAGACGGACCGCTCGCGAGAGTTGCATTACTTTTCCAGGGTAGTGGAGGTTCGTGGACCCCTCAAGCTTTGATGTCGCGACCCCGTCTTAATTTTTCCATAAGATATCTATATAGTGTCGGAGACGCAAGAGGCAACACACATCACATACAAGGAGCATCATGCAGATGTTCATCAGCATTTTTTTAAGCCTCGCGAGCCCCTGGGCGGGCGGATTTTTCCCCAATCAGTGCTTGCACTGTAGGGGTCCTAGCTGTTATTGAAAGATTTGGCGGAAAATTCGCCGCCGATTCTGGTAGGCGGCCGGGTTCCCTGGTTCTGGGTTTCGGGTTCTCGTTTCCGGGCTCCGGATTGGTCTTGGCGAAAGTTCGCCGCCGGCCGGGTTTTCCTGGATCCGTTTCTGGGTTCCGGGTTCCCGTTTCGGGGTTCCGGATTGGTCTCGGTCGGCGGCTGGGTTCCCAGTTCTATTTTCTGGGTTCCCGTTTCCCGGTTTTGGATTGGTCTCGGTGGGCGGCTGGGTTCTTGGGTTCCCCGTTCTTGGTGCCAGGGTTTGCCGCACACACACACACATATATATATGTATATACATATATTTATATATATATATGAATATACATACCATAGCGAGGGGAAAGGATGGCTACGGAGTGGGTATGTGTATTTGTACAATCGTATAAAAATATGGGCGTACAGCACTTACACGCGCACGCACACAATTATTATTATTCTTATCATTATTCGTATTCGTATTCTTGTCAGTGTTGTTATGATTATCATTCGTACTACTGTTGTTATTCGTATAATTATTATACGTAGTATTCGTATGATTATTGTTATGGTGATGATGATGATTGTTAGTATTATTACTTTCATTCTTATTCGTATGAATAATTATCATTATTAGTAGGAGTATTAGTACTAGTATCATTATCATTGTTGTTATTATTATTATTATTATTATTAATATGATGATTCTTATTATTATTATTATTATTAATGTTATTTTTATTATTATTATTATTATTATCATTATTAGTGTTATTATTATCATTATTATTTTTATTAATAATAGTAGTAGTAGTAGTAGTAGTAGTAGTAGTAGTAGTAGTAGTAGTAGTAGTAGTAGTAGTAGTAGTAGTAGTAGTAGTCGTAGTAGTAGTAGTAGCTTTATTATTGCTTAAAATATCTGGTGTGATTTTCAGCCTCGCGAGCCCGAGGGGGCGGGCTGACTCTGGTCCTCTTGCCTCCTCCTTCCCCCCCTCCTCACACCTCTCATCCTCCTCCGCTCCCTCCTTCCCCTCTACGTCTTGCTGCTTCTTCTGCTCGTCGTCATCGTCCTCGTGCCCATGCTTCTCCCCATGGCTTGGCCAGGAGGGGAGTCTGCACACCAGTCCTTGCCCAGGATGGGCTGGTCCAAGGCTGTTGGTGGTGCATTGGTGGCCTCATCCCAGGAGGGCATCGCGCTGAGCTCGGCCGCATGCCGTTGCATCATGGCCGACGTGGTAGGCTCCACAGGTCTCCTCCTCTTCCGCTGCCTCCTCCTCGTCCTCCTCCTCCTCTTCCTCTCTCTCTCTCTCTTTCTCGGTGGTCCCTGTCCGTGGCCGCCTTGCGTTTCTTCCCTCCTCACTTCTCCTCTCCCTCGACCTCCCCATTCCCCCACCTCGGCTCGTGCTGCTGCTCCTCATCCTCCCTCCTGCCCGTCCCGCCCCCTCCCTCCAACGTACTCGCTCCTCTCTCCTCCCTGGCCCAGGGGGAGGGGCCCAAGAGTGACCCCTCCCCTGCCTCACGACCTCCCTTCTCAGGTGGGAAGGCGTGTTCCCCTCCAGTGGACGCTGCGACCAGCCAGGACGACTCAGTCCGCGACGGCGCCGAAGAGGACGTGCCTTCGCATGAGGAGGAGGAGGAGGAGGAGGAGGAGGAGGAGGAGGAGGAGGAGGAGGAGGAGGAGGAGGAGGAGGAGGAGGAGAGGAGGAGGGGAAGAAGTAGGAGGAGGAGGAGGACGACGACGAGAAAGAAGGACGAGGTGGGATTAGGGAGGAGCTGCTGCAAGGTGGAGGGAAGAGATGGAAGGAGGGAGGACCCAGACGTCGCCCGCCACGCTGCCACCGAGCGCACGAGCCTGCGCAGGGAGGCGTCCACGTTCGTCCCGAAGTGCTTGGAGGGCCCGTGGCAAGTGCAGCCCGAGGAGTCGACGGTGTGCAGTTGGGTCCCTCGCCCTCCTCCTGGCCTGTGCGATGAGTTCCCGCAGGTGGACACGCAGCAGATGGGATACCAGTACGACGATGGCACCACGATCATTCTGCGCAATCTGCCATGTCCCTTTCTGCGCGACAACCTGATCGCGCTGATGGACGCGAAAGGGTTTGCAGGGTTCTATGATTTCGTGTACTTGCCAGTCGACTTCAAGACCGGAATGGGCTTGGGATATGCCTTCGTGAATATTCTCACCGAGGAGGTGCGGCGCTTCGCTCTTGCCTTCGATGGCTTCAAGGATTGGCCTCGATATGCCTCGGGCGCTGATCTGTCCCGTCCGCGTGTGTCTGCGAAGATCTGCGCCGTCGATATGTCTCGGACGCAGGGTTTGTTCGCAAATGTCGAGCGATATCGGAACAGCCCTCTCATGAGCGACGAGGTACCCGATAGGTTCAGGCCCGTGCTCTTCAACGGGACAGAGCGGGTCCCCTTCCCGGAGCCCACGCGGGAGCTGCCCAGAGTCTTGCACAAGTCGATCGAGTGGTAGAGGCGAAAGCGCCACAAGCTTCCATAGCCACCGCATCTTTTCGCCCCCCACCATCCAGGCAAACAGGGTGGGTAGCAGATGAGGTAAGAGCGGGGCGGGTGGAGAGGGAGGTAGGGAAGGGAAGGCAGGGAATGCAGGGAGTGTTGTCGGGGAGGGAGCAAGAGAACAGCAGGACGCAGGGAGGAAGGCTGTGACTCCAGTCACTCGTGTCCGCGCCAGGGATCCAGCCACGTCCAGCGATCTGGGGATTGAGAATATTAATCCGTCGGAAGGACCCCCCATGATGACCTTTTAGTGCTTGTGGGATTCATCATCATTATCAGCATCATCATCACTATCATCATCATCATCATCATCATCATCATCATCATCATCATCAGCATCATCATCATCATCATCATCAGCATCATCATCATCATCATCATCATCATCATCATCATGATCATCGCCATGATCATCACCGACACCAGCAATATCATCATAATCATCACCATCGCCATCATCAATCATAATCACCATCGTCATCATCATCATATTCATCATCGGCATGATGATGATCAGCATCACAACCATGTCATCACCATCATCATCATCATCATCATCATCTTTATCACCGTCATCATCATCGTCCTCGTCGGCATCATCATCATCATCATCGTCATCATCATCATCGGTATCATCATCAGCATCATCATCATCATCACCATCACCGCCATCACCATTAATATTATCAGCGTCATCATGGTCATAATCATCATTACCATCATCATTATCACCACCATCATTACTTTCATCAACATCATCACCACCATCATCATCATCGTCATCATCATCATCGTCATCATCACCACCATCCTATGCATCATCAGCATCATCTTCATCACCATCATCATCATCACCATCATCATCATCATCATCATCTTCATCATCATCATCATCACCACCATCATCATCATCATCATCATCATCATCATCATCATCATCGACGACTCACAGTGGTGATGATGGCAGGACGCTAGGATACGAAGATGCGACCTTTGAGGCCGTTGAGACCTGTGGGGCCCGTGGGGCCTGTGTCGCAGGTGAGACCTCCGGGCCTGTGGGACCTGTGCGACATGTGGGACCTGTACAACCTGTGGGGCCTGTGCGACCTGTGGGGCCTGTGGGACCTGTCAGACCTGTGGGACATGGGGGACCTGCGGGCCTTGTGGGACCTGCGGGCTCGTGGGGCCCCTGCTGGAACTTGTGGGACCTGTGCGGCCTGTGGGACCTGTGAGACGTGCCGGGCCCATGGGACCTGTGCGGCCTGTGGAGTTTGTTTTGTGGGACCTGCGGGACCTACGGGGCCTGTAGGATCTGCGGGGCCTGGGACTTGTGGGACTTGTGGGACCCGTGTGACCGGTGGGAACTGTGAGACTTGAGAGACTGGGATTTGCTGGACCTGTGCGACCTGCGGTGCCTTTGGGACCTGTCGGCCCTGTGGGTGGAGCTTGTGGGTCTTGTTCGGCCTGCGGGACCTGTGGGACCTGTGTAACCTGAGCGCCCCTGGCTCCCGCTCAAGACTTCCTCGCGATTCACTCACGGACGAGGCTCCCGCTTGGGACGTCCTCCGTATTCAAGTCAGACGAGCCCAACAGTGACGACAGTTACAGGTTTTCCGATGACCCGCCCGGATTCGAACACGGAGGTGGAGGACCAATAGGGAGGGGCTCCCGCTTGAGATTTCTTTGCGAAGCACTTACGTACGAGGCTCCCGCTCGAGACTCCTTCCATATTCACGCCTGAGGAGCCCAGAAGTGACGACAGCTACAGATTTTCCGATGACCCGCTGGGATTCGAACACGGAGGTGGGACCCCAGAGGGAGGGGGCTTCCGCCTGAGAGTTCCTCGCGATCTACTTGCAGAGGAGGCTCCCGCTTGATGCTTCCTTCGAATTCAGGCCTGAGAAGTCCAAACGTGACGACAGGCACAGGTTTTAGGACGACCCGCTCGGATTGCTAACATGAACTGCGGATTCCATAGAGAGGGGGGCTCCCGCCTGAGACTTCCTCGCAGTTCACTCATAGAGGAGGAACGTCGACGACAGGTACAGGTTTTAGGACGACCCGCTCGGATTGCTAACGTGAGCTGCGGGCCCCATAGGAATGGGCTCCGGCCTGAGACTTCCTCGCAATTCACTCACAGACGAGGCTCCAGCTTGATACTTCCCCAGTCCTCAGGCCTGATGAGTCCAAAAGTCACGACAGTGACAAGTTTTAGGATGACCCGCTGGGATTACTAACATTAGCTGCGGGTGCCATAGGGAGGGAGTCTTCCACCTGAGACTTTCTCGCACTTCACCCGCAAATGAGACACCCGCTTGATAGTTCCTCCATGCTCAGGCATGAGGGCCTTCAAAGGGACGGCAGTTGCAGGTTTTAGGACGACCCGCTCGGATTATTAACATGAGCTGCGGGCCCCATATGGAATGGGCTCCCGCCTGAGACTTCCTCGCAGTTCACTCACAGAGGAGGCTCCCGCTTGATACTTCCTCCATATTCATGCTTCAGGAGCCCTGGCACGATGATGAGTGGGTGAGTGATGAGTGAAATTAGTGGGTGAGTGAGCGAGTGAGTGAACAATGGAGTGAATGAGTGAGAATGATGCCGATGCTGATGCTGCTGATGATGATGCTGATGCTGATGCTGCTGCTGATGATGATGATGCTGAGGATGATCATGATGATGCTGATGATGATGCTGATAATTGTAGTAATGCTGATGATACTGATGAGGATGACGATTATGCTGTTGCTGATGATGCTGATGCTTGCGATGATTATGATCATGTTGCTGCTGATGCTGATGATGATGTTGATAATGCTAATAGCTGCTGATGATGATGCTGCTGATGATGATGACGATGCAGATGCTGCTGATGATGCTGATGATGATGATGCTGATGCTGATGATGATGATGCTGATGATGATGATGATGATGATGATGACGATGACGATGACGATGACGATGATGAGGCTGATGATGATGACGATGATGATGATGCTGATGATGATGGTGGTGGTGATGATGATGCTGTTGATGATGACGATGATGATGCTGCTGCTGATGATTATGATGATGATGGTGATGATGATGATGTTGATGATGACAATGATGATGATGATGATGATGATGATGATGACGATTGTGCTGATGATGATGATGATGACGAAGATGATGATGATGATGATGATGATGATGATGATGATGATGATGATGATGCTGATGCTGATGATGATGATGATGATGCTGATGCTGATGATGATGATGATGATGAT